GGGTTTAGGGTTTAGGCTTTAGAATCCAGAGAATGAGGGTTTCGGGCTTGGGTGTAGGGTTTAATTTAGGGGCCAAAATAATTACCTACACTATTTTTGGTGGTTTTCCCCATTATATAAGTATAGTATAGTGTTCCCCAAAACCCTATTCGCCTAATCTAGTTATTACTAAGGCCCCTATAAATTAAGCTTAGTGTTTGGGCTTCAAGGAGTTTTTAGGGTTTAGGGTTTAGGGTTTAGGGTTAGGGTGCAGCAGAGGGATGGCCTCAGGAGACTGATTCTTCAATCCCCAACTGGTCTGAAGCTACGGTTTAGGGTTTAGGGTTTGAGGGTTTAAGGGTTTAGGGTTTAGGGTTTAGGGTTTAGGGTTTAGGGTTTAGGGTTTAAGGGTTTAGGGTTTGGGGTTTAAGGGCTTAAGGGTTTCAATGATGGTGATTCGGAGGTTAAAGTCTTAGCGTTTAGCCATGTAGGGGCCTGACTGATTGATACTTTCGCCTCCTCTACTAAATCGCTGTAACCCTTCAAGAACCCGTACAGGAACCTTCTTCTAGGTATCTTACTTCTTGTGGCCAGACTCTCCGTCAGGAGTTCACACGGTGGTTCCACCTGCATTACAGCTGCGGTCGCCGCTCGGCTGAATACCCATATTATTCCTTAGGGCTCCTTATCCGAACTTTACTATAACAAGCTTCAAAGCCCTACTATGATTAGTGTGTCCCTTTATCAGAGCGGCTTTCCAAAGCAGGAAGCGGGCGATACAGGATTTTCAGGCTTCGAAGGTGTTTTCACATAGGGCCTTAAACCTTAAACCCTGAACCCGAAACCCTTAACCCTAAACCCTAACACCCAAACCCTAAACCCTAAACCCTAAACCCAAAACCCCCAACCCCAAACCCTAAACCCTAAACCCCGAACCCGAAACCCGAGAGTCAGACGGGGCCCTGGGGTCGAGTCAGGGATCCTAAGGGGATACTCTTGGGGTTTAGGGTTTAAGGTCTTGGGTTTAGGGTTTAGGGTCTTGGGGTTTAGGGTCTTGGGGTTTGGGGTTTAGGGTTACGTTTAGGCTTCAGGGTTTAGGGTCTTGGGGTTTAGGGTCTAGGGTGTGACCGCGAGCTTGCATGAGGATTTTGAAAAAGGAGTGCCTGCGTGCGTTTCGTAGGCTCGAAACCGGCACCTATGGCCGCAGATGAAATCCCAAACTACATCCTAATCCTTAAGCCGCTCCTAAACCCTACAGCCTAAACCCTAGACCCCTAAACACTCAAAATTTCAACACCTCAAACTCTTAAACCGGAACGTTTCAACGCCCAATCCCCACACCCGCACACCCCAAGCTCTGCTCTTTGGACACTACCCTAAACCCTAAACCCCAAAACCCTAAACCCAACACCCTAAACCCTAAACCCTAAACCCCAAAACCCTAACCCAGCACCCTAAACCCAAAACCCCAAAACCCTAAACCCAACACCCTAAACCCTAAACCCTAAACCCCAAAACCCTAACCCAGCACCCTAAACCCAAAACCCCAAAACCCTAAACCCAACACCCTAAACCCTAAAC